ATTCTGAGAGTTTAAAGTTCAATCTTGACACAGAAGAAGAATCAATAGCTCATATTTTAAACAATAAAAGAGACTATTTTAAAGCATTAAAATAAATAAGCCAATCCCTTTCTCAAAGCTATTTCACTGTTCAGATTGTTTCCTATAGAATATACAGTATATGAACTCATTTAGTTTTCAAACAATGATTGTATGGCTTCATTTATACACTTGACAGGAAAATCTAGTTTGACAGTGTAATCCTATGCATCTTTTAATCATCAGTAAACTCTAATTTAATCAGATTTAGTTTATTCCCAGATAAGTGTATCCAGGCTGTTGCCTTAGAATCCTTATCTTCATTTTACAAAAGGAACAAAGCAAGGTACAGTTGTCATGGAAGTCATTCTAGTGTTGATAATGCTGACAATCACCTTTACTCTGTTAGAAAAGTGGTTTCAATGTGAATAGTATTTATATCAATAGGGAACTATGCCCACACAACTGAACCCTAGTTATTAGCAGAAATACTGAGGCAAATGTCTTTTGAAATTGATACTTTGAATGAAAAAAAATCTGTTTCAGGCATTGAAAGGAAACTATTTCTTGTCCAATACTGACCTCTGGGTAGAAGGGCAGAATTGCATTTTCTTAAGTAGCGAGCCATAGACCATTACATTTTATACTGTTTAATAAAATTTGTTAATCAGAAAAAGTGCTATCAAGTCCTGATGCTTGGTACTCTAAGGAATTTTGGGATTGCCTTCTAAAGGACAGGCAGAATTAGTAGGAAGAATTAAACCTGAAAGTATTGTTATATGAACATAACCAAGATGCACATTAAAAGGTCAAGAGTATAAATCTGTTTATCAATCTATATGATGTGGTCAATGCACAGAGAGTGCTTTGTAAATCATTTTGAGTATTGTTTCTAACCATATATATTTTCCACTGCCATTGCAATGAAATTATAGTTCTTTTTCACACTTCCTCTTTCCAGTAAGCAGCAACCTATACTTGTACTAGGAAAGAGTAATANGCAGTGAGTTAGCCTGCAATATTGCATTCTAACCACTACCTTCACAGCTGTAATTATCTAATTATCAAGTATTAGAATAACATGTTTTAATAATTAAAAAGCTTGTTATCTGGTGTTTTTTATAGAAAAAATCCTGGGATTGTGTGTTATAGGCACAAGAATTATCGAACTGTTCTAAAGTCCTTTGCCAATTTGCCAAAAAGGCTTATTTAAGCACTGATGAACAATATAATCACAATCCACTGTTAAGACCAAGTGGAATTTATCTTTCCGGTGTAATTATTTTGCATGCCCAACTTGGATGATCTGTTGCAAAATGGGAATGATATTTAAAATTAAATGGTATTGCCTGTAGCCTGATCTATTAAGCCATCATCCAAAACAACAATAGCAGAAATATCTTCCTGCAGCCTAGTTATCATCTGTTCTCCCATTAATTCCATTTTTTCCATTTCACCCCCAATGTGTTAAAGATGAATTGCTTCCTACACCTATTTATCGCTTTACAGCATTAAAAGCTACTTGCCTGGATACCCTCATATGAAGTTGTTAGGTAGCTTCTGAAAGCAGAATCTAATATCAAAATAAGCACCTATCTCAATCAGAATAACACAAATTGAATTATACCCTTTGGCCTCATTATGAGGAATTATTTTCTGTCGTTTGAGACAACTGAGAATTTTGAATTTATAAATCTTGCAAGATAATACTAAATACAACCCTATGCCTTTTCAAACTGAACTTGTCCTTTCTATAAAGTATTCTTAAAGCTATCATTGCTAAAATCAAATTATTCAACCATATAAAATATGTTCTAGTTTAAATGTTTTCAACTGCATTATACTTGTCCGCATCCTAGATAGCATGATTAATGATAAAATAATATCAGTATTGATGATGATTCCTATTCTGCCTGCAAGTACAATTCCTGTAAATATGATTGTATTGTTTGTACTGCAGTTAGAAGCAAGCAAGAAAAAAGGCTAAATCTCACAATAATTTAATTGTGGGATCTTGGCTCTGTCTGTATTTGTATTTGTATTTATTAATATTTGTATGCCGCCCTTTTCCCCAAGGGGACTCAGGGNAGTTGTTGATATTCTTATTTATAGTTTTTATTATATGTATTTCATTGCACATATGTATGATCCCCAATGGCTCTGGGTTTGCTTACAAAAATCTAATTTGCGAATGAGCTACTGTTGTAAGAACACACAAAACACTTTTGCTTTTATGCATTTGATCCAATAAATTCCCTTAGCTACAAATCTGCCTTTTATGAGTTATCGGAAAGTACAGTGATATAAGCTGCACTTTGACTGCTTTTCCTTTGTCTGCAGAAACATCAGGCTCCTCGGGATGCATAATGCTTGTTTCAATGAAAAAAAATTAAGAAAGAAAGAAATAATATTAACTAAAAACAGAATATCTGTGTTCTAACAATAATTTATTCGTGCAAAAGAAGCTTTGTTAATCCTTTCAACAAGTAGGAAAATAAACTGATTTCACTTTCAGGACATCTTATTTTCAGTCCAAGATCGAGCTTCTGTCTTTCTTTAAATGTTACCAACCAAGATTCCGTCTGAAAAGCCAGAATATTCCAAAACTTTTCTAGAACCAACCAACCAAGCATTGCCTCTATTATAATGTGTGATACAATATTTTGTGTTACTATGAGCATGATTAATATAACATATTTTAAGCAATTTAACACTTACTGTAGCTCCCTTTCCTCCCAGACTTTCATCACCTCTCTCTCTTGCTTCCTGTTTGCTCTCATATACCAGCCCTCTCTACTAAATCATTGCTTTTCTTTTGATAACTAGTTATATACAGGGTCCTCTGTTTTCATGCTGCCAATTGATCCCAAAATCGTAAGACCTTCACTCTGTATCGTTGGATCCCAATGCAATGGAGGAGCAAATAGCAACATTCCCATCCAGTTTTTTTCATGGACTACATAAGTGACTCCTGATGTGCTCTTTAATGGTACTTACTGCATGTAAGGTGGTCCCGATACATCAGCTGAATGCTCGATTGGAAGCATTCTTCTTTAGAGGACCACTATTTCAAGCTTCTTTTGGTCTCTAATATGTAGGTTTTTTTCCAGGAGGAACTTCTGAGAAGTGACACTCTCATAATTCATTTTTGGTCAGGAAACTGATTAAATGCTCCAGCAATAGGTTTGTAGAGATCAATTGACTTCTCAAAGTCTTCTTCTGAAAGAACAAAAGAGTGGTGTATAGGCATAATTTGTTTCTACCATCAGAATCTACACTGCAGCAACAGATAGTTTGGTGATAATGGTAACATACCTCTTCATTCATTCATTCCGTTCCATTCATTCATTCATTCATTCACTCAATGACTATCAATCAGGGGATCATACAATCTGTCACCATCACATTTACTGAAGTGTAAAGAAAAAAGTGCTCTAATACTATCAGCATACTCTGGAGGATTCCAGAATAGCAGTGAAGTGGAAAAGCAATTTTTAATATTC